TGTATATATGGCGAATCTAAGCTAGAGATTAAGACATTTGGCAGTAAACTTGAGGGGCAAACAAGCCCCTCAGGAGTCGAGGAAGCAGACCTCTGGGAATTCTGAGAATGAAATCAAACTGTTAGCCTATATTCACAAAATTGGTACATCCACAATAAACCGATATCGGGCAAAGCAAATTAAAGCGATGAGTTCTCGAAAATTAAGAGGCCATCAAAAAGATTCCTGCTAAATGAAAAGACACCCTTTTTCAAACATATAAAGTGTGATGATTGATATACTTCACAATGATTAAACTTTGAAGGACAAGGCATGACTTCACAAATACTCAGATGCGGTTAAAATAAACAAAAATATATTTTGCTTCTCCTTAATTATAGAAGAATGAGTAATGTCTAAACATAGAGCAAGAAGTTAAATAAATGACGTAGATAAAATAAATAAATTGAAAAACATGGGGCTAAAAGTAGCGGTAAAATATGCTTCCCAAGGAACGAAATAAATAAGTCACAAGACAATGCCAGTAAGGAGATGATATCATAATATAGATTTGAATTGGCAAGTGGCGAAATAGAATAAAGAAATAATTTCCGTAAATAAATTAAACGGAATCGAAAGGGAAGAAATATCTGAATATAAAGTGTTAACAAACAGTGATGCGATTATAGGCAGAAATGCAGGACGGACACAGATTAGAGAGCAAACTCCAAATAAATGCAAAGGTACAAGTCAGGATATTTAGACAAAATGCATTACGATTTATTAGGTATATATGCAATAGATTATGAAGGAAAAAGGAAGGCAAAGGGAAAGAAATATAAAAGCCCATAGCCCATTATTTATATTGAGCTTTCCTATTACGCGCATAACTATGTACAAAAATAAAAATTGCAGGAAAATGCGACTTCAAAAAACAGCAAAAGTTGAGATTTATAGGTAATTTCAAGAAAAATGAGGCCAAATGTAGAGAAATATGGTTTAGATAGTAGTAGTTGTTTGAAACAACACTGTATGACATTGGCATAGAAAGCCGATCAAAAAAGCAGCAAGAACGATTGTGAAACTGGACTAGACAAAAAAATATGACCGATTACGGTAAGAAAATAACTATTGGATCTAGTCCTTGGATTCATTCTGGTTCGTATCTGGTGAAAAGGCTGCATTCACGTTGCCATCTGATGAGAAAGTGAGTCCCTCAGCAACATAATCGATGCCCTTCTCTCGCAGAAGCGGCCCGGCTTCGCCATAATTTTCTATCAGAACACTGTTGCGCCAGCCATAGGTGAAGTAAATAGCGAAACCTGATGTAGCCAATGGACAGGGAGAATAAACCAGAATAAGGGAATAAAATTATAAGATAAAAGGAAAGAGATAAGTAGAAGGTTAAAATGTCATTATAAATGAATAAAAACTTGGTTTCGAAGATCCACTAAATGATTTGGCGGCTCGACTTTTCTCTTCGAAGAAAAAGTTGGTTGATGAATTGGCCTCACCGGAAACCAAAGGCGTGGAGGTTGAAGTAAAGCCGTTTTGATCGAGAGAATGGGTCTTCAGCTCCTCGTCCTGCGACTCCCATCAACCCATGATGAGCCAGTGTTTAATTTATTAATGTTGCCATATCTTTGGGCATATGGTATGTTGTTCTGTATGTATGCGATGTTCAAATAATGCGAGGCGAGAGAGCCCTAATCAGGCTCGAGTTTATTAAAGCCTCCTCTTGATTGACGATTCTCTTTCCTCTCTTTCTCCCCTTCCTTAAGCCAAATCATAAGATGCTTCATAAAGATCACAAAAGTTTGGTATAGACGAGTAGGTCTGCAGCCGGACACGTTCCTCTTATTTACCCAAAATGGTACGGTTTTGCATAAAATATGGCTTTTGGCCTTAACGATTTCTATTAAATGACAGGAGAGAACACAGCACGGGTTGATGGGAGTCGCAGGACAGTGAGCCAAATACTCATTCGCACAGTCAAAGCGGCTTCACTTCAGCCTCTACGCCTTCGGTTTACGGTGAGATCAATTCACGAATCCCTTCCAACCAATTTTTCCCTCAAAGTGAAAGCTCGAGTCACACTAACCATCCTGTTTGCGCATTTGGATATTTTCTCTTTTCAGTTTAAAAAAATAATTGATTTTGAGATTATGCGATGGCATATCCAATGAATCAGTGTACTTGATAACGTTTATAACTGTAGATACGAAGAAAAACTGGGTTTCGATGAATCTCCTGAGATAACATTGTTAGAGGGACCTTCATT